ACGACATCAAACAAGGTGAAATGAGATTGTGGAAGAAAGGCAATATCTACCCCCGAGCCTATTCATACGGGGCGAAGGTAGTTTACCATATTATGGGATGGTTCAAGTCGTTAATATTGAGACAGACCATGGCCATGCTTGTTGGTTCAGGGAAATATGATGAGGTATTGTATTCCTCATCTTTATCCATAAGGGACAGAGAGTAAAAGAATTTGTATGTGAACACAAAAGCCAGCCGTAGGCCACAAACTGTGATTGAAAAGAAGTGCTTGAATGGGCGGGATCTTGTATCAAGCAATAGTATGTTTGACTGCAAATAAGTGGGGCAAATTTTAAAAAACAAACGTTAGCCAGTGGGTCGAACAGAACTGGCACATTTTAAAACGTGTGTATACGTTATGTTTGTTACGCGTTTGCCTTGTATGCGTCAATCGACACACACTGGAGGCCCTTGTAAAATAACAATTTGCTTGTATTTTTAAGGTACCTTCCACTAATGTCACAAATGAGACGTTCTGTCTGAGGGGATATTTTTCCAGGTGAACTTTTTAAAATAATTATATAAAAAGAGAAAACAAATCTCCGTCCATTTCCTCCACAAGTAGATTCACTGCACATAATCAAACAAATGAAACATTCAACAGGCTTCTGATGATCCCAGAAAAGGCAAAGAAAATAAATAAATATGCACACAACACCTACACACAAACTCTCACCGGAATAGACGATAATAACACTGGTCAACAACAAAAACACATTTTTTTCTGGCCTGGACTTTTGCAGCTGTTTTAGACTAATTTCAGGGTGCTGATTACAAATCTGATCTCAGATTTGCTCTATCACATCATTTTTATGTTATCGGCATACCCCATTTTCATTGATGTTACCCGACATTAACTCAGTCACTTATAATTGCAAGTTGTTGCGAGTCAGTGACTGCTTTAGTGATAAAATATGGTGCTGTATTTTTAGGATAGTGTGTTTATAATATAATTTTATGTAGATATCCACATTTATTTAATATTTTTCTTCTGCAGTTTTTATTGAAAATGCAATATTTGATATCTCAAAAACCTGATGTGATAGACACAAACTGATGCCAGATTTGGAATCAGCACCCCAAACTTACATTAAAACCGTTGGAATACCTTATGCCAGAAAAAGTGTGTTGACCAGTGTAATTGGGTCTTGTATAAACATTCCCCTGACTATCGCATGTGAATATTTACAGGTCCCCAATGTTGCTAAGCTAGTATAATCATTTTTTTGAGATAAGGAAAACCCACCAAGTAGTTAAGATAATAAATATACATCATATTCTTGGGTCTTTCGATAAAGTCACGTAGATAGGTTCAAAGAAAATAACAAAAAAATAACCAAAAACTACGACGTTTCAATCGTAGCAAAAGCGGTCGACTTCCTTTTCCTGAAGACGACCGCTTGTGTTGCGATCGAAACGTCGTAGTTTATTCTTTTTCTTTTATTATTTTATTTGAACCTATCTAAGTGACTTTACCGAAAGACCCAATAATAGCAATTACTGCAGTCACGAAAGCTTTAAGTCAAAATATACACCAATGGAATTGACCGCTTATTAGGGCACATCTGCCTTTTGCTACCTTCCTGCATCTGCCCTTGTTGAGTTGTAGTCGATTGGTTCAACTTCTTGCACGGCTGCCTTTGCTAAATATCTGACACTATTTTACCCTTCCCCTTTTAGTTATGCACCTTTGATTAGCACGGCTGGCTAGGTACGGTGCGAAAGAAGTTCAACACACATATATTCATTGGGTAATCATTGTCTCTGCATTGGGCCTTTCGGGCCTACTTACAGCCTAGCATTTTCCTGACAACCCTCCATCCACCCTCCCCAGCTGCCTCCTCTATCATCTGTCCGGGGCCCTTACCACTACAACATCACAGCACGTGGGGACCTAGCCACCATGACAATACGACGTGGGGAGACTCTCATTGTCCTGTGCACCGTTTAATCGTGGTGTGGGATTCTCCTGGGGCCTTTTATGGCGGCATGCGTCGTGGGTGGTGGCGGCTGCGCAGAGGTCGCAAACGGGTTTTGTTTCCTTACCCGTACCCGGCCGCACCAGGGTCGCAAACGGGTACCTGTACCCGTACCCGGCCGCACCAGGGTCGCAAACGGGTACCCGTACCCGTATCCGGCCGGGTACGGGTAGCCGGGTATCGGGTAGGGTACGGGTATCGGGTACCCGGTTGCGACCTCTGGGGCTGCGTGGGGTGTTAGGATGGTTGGCCCAGGCCAGTGTTTTGCATCCCATTGCGCATCTGGATTTCCCCCAGAATCTACTGGCACTTGGACTCTCAGTCGCCCAATTGTGTGTGTGTGTGGCTCGTTGTTTTGTCCCCGTAATAGTCATGCCCGTCTGCCATTGATACGTGGTATCTTTTGTTCTATTTTATTCCCCCTATTATCTTTTCACTTGTTTTTACTCTGATGTGTTTTTTTGCATGAACTATTTGTGATTTTTTTTATCGCTCCGGCTCTATAGTATATTTCCTAATCTATTCTGCAAAAACAACGAGCACACAAGTTTCCAATATACTCCAAAGTCTTGGGGAATCATAGATAGGCATATGAGATGGGTTATAGGGGTAATGGTAATGTGCTTATTTGAAGATAACGTAAATAATTAAAATGACATGAGATAAAGGTGTTGAGTCTGCAAATGTTCGTGGAGGGATTCCGTGAGTCTATTGGCGAATCACGCTGTCCATAGTGGCACCAAGCCTTGTAACTGGATCCTGACAGTATGAGTTGCTCCAGTGAAGATTTTGCTTCCATTCTCACAGCATGGTAGGTTCAGACGTAAAAATAATGAAAGCCCCGAAGATAAGAGTGAAGCAAGTAAGCAGCCACGCAGCAGATGGAGATTGTAAAGGTGGCGCCAAAAGTGTGATGGCCTCTAACAACATCCTCACGTCGTATCAGAAGAAAATGTTGTCCTCACCATGCAGTAAATCCAGTAAATTGACTGTGTGAATGTACCCAAGGCCTGGAAGATCATCCAGAATGTCACACCTTGGACAAGAAGACTGATCTTCCATGCCATTTTGTTCGGGACGAAACAAAATGAGCTGTGAGACATTCTTGACTGCGAAGAGCACTGCAGTAGGTTTTCAATCTCTGATACAGCTTTTACCACAGCGGAGGATCAGTCAATGGTGGTGCTTCAGATTAACGCAGACTCAAAGTTAATCTGGACACAGTAACTGACTTTATGACACCTTCCACCTTCGGCAGAAATCCATGAAAGGGCTGCAATGCTGTCCACTTAGCCGAGCCCAAAGGAGCAATGCGAGTGTAATAAACCTCTTCGTTCCGTGTCTGACCACGTGTCTCTGATCTCTCCCCTTATTTAACGCCTGGGTCACGTAGTACATTACAGCCAATCCTTAATAGCCTGCGCCGAATGTTCCAGATTCCCCATCAACTCCCGGGACCACGCCCCTTACTTGTCTTCCCATTGGCTGAGGCCAAGACCAGCAGAACCAATCACCCTAGCTGACATCCCGTGATCACGCCGAGGCCATGCTCCCAGGCTCTCTCCCCATTGGCTGTAAAGCGGGACTGGCAGAGTCGATCACCACGTGAGCCGGACATAGGCTCTTATTATACGAGGAACAAAAAAAGAGCTTGCCGTCCTTAAGCGAGAGTCAGGCTTCCTTGGCCTTCCACACGATTTGGAGCACATCACTTGACTCATGGCCTCGCCCTCAAAATGGTAAGAAGAAGGCGCACACAAGGGGGACTGATGACATCGGTTTTTTGACGACAGCCAAAGCCGTGGCATCAGAGCTAGTTGATGTTTTTTTTATGAAGAACCTTGCTGCTTAAGAAGAAGTTTTTCCCTTCTGCTCCCTCAGGAAGCCGAAAAAGTTTAAGTTGGGCTTAGTGCGATCAGTGAATGCAGTCTCTTGATAGTTTCCTCAGCTGCTTCCAGGCATCTTTCCAGAACTTTATCAGAGCTCTGTAGAGAATCAGCCTCTTCACAAAACTCCATGATCTCCAATTAATGTTTCTCAGTTGCTTCTGTGGTGGTATCAAAATTTCTAAACAAGATGTAGAAGCAGATTTCAGAGCCGCTGTCTCAGCCAAGAGTTCCTGGTGGAGCTGCTACAGCCTCTGCCCCACTATTCGGCCTTCATCTCGAGTCGAGGGATTATCTTTGTCCAGGATCAATTCACTAAACCAATCCAACATTTATAACGCGAAGCATTCAGTGAAAAGTTCCAGAAGGAATCGCAGATAGCGCACTGAAAATCCGCAGATCATTTTTCAGTACATTTTGCAGTGGGTTTAGAAGGCAGCACAAGTCAACATTGAGGAGTGATCCAAGCCTAGTGCTAGCAATCATGAACAGCAAGTAAATCAACCAAATTTGATGACGCAATACAAATGATGTAGTATTCTAAGGGTCTAACGCCCCCCCCCCCCCCCAATAAATAACACAATTAATAGTGAGTAGTATTCGTATGCCAGGCGAATAACTTTACACCAGCTTTGCCCTTAAGAGTCACACCTATTATCGTTGGCTGTGCATAACGATTGCACCCGAGTTTTTCAAACAAACGTATCACCCTTTGTCTTCGCTTACAGTCATTCGTCACAAATTCACCCCGGATCGTCGCCTTTTTATTCCTGCAAGGTTCTCCCACCACCTTTCCTCAATTTAACACGTGGTAGGCTTTTGGGACCAATACCATCCATAATATAGGTTTTTGGGGTTAGATCGTGTAAATCTAAACGTGTCATTAAACCCGCAACCACCCGACACAGCCAAGTAGTAAGGTTTGTCACGTAAACAGAACGTGCCAATTCGTTACTTGTACAGTACACCGGTGTGTTGGAAAGCAAACCCACAACATTTACATTCTGAGTACGACGTTTCGCCAGTAATTACAACTAGTTTCATCAGGCGACAGCCAGATTTGTACTAGTAACGAATTGGCATGTTCTGCTTACGTGACAAACCTTACTACTTGGTTGTGTCGGGTGGTGGCGGGTTTAATGACGCATTTACACCTTCCCTCGGTATGCCATTTTGCCCAGACGTGACGGCCCATCGCCAGAATCCCTGCCTCCGCCCGCACGCGGCGTTGGGCGCTAGAATCCGTCGACGCCGACGGCCCCATCAACAACCCGGCACGCCTTGATGGCCGCTTTCGTTTTCCTTCGCCTCGAGGCTGTGCATGTTTATTGTCGACGACGTCGTTCGTCCCTTCGCGGCGCCGCGCGTCCGCCCCACGCACGCGCTCACCGCCAACGCGGCCGCCCTGCGAAAGCGGTTGCCTGACGCGAAGAGGATGAGCGGATCCATGAAGCAGTTGCAGCTGGAAAGCAGCAGGCTCCAGTAGACGCCCTCGAAGGCCAACTGGTTGAGGCCGCAGTTTTTGGGCAGGTAAAGTTTCGCCGCCACGAGGAAAACGCGGAAGATGTGAATGGGGACGAAGCAGGTGGCAAAAATGACGAGGATTATGATCATCAAGCGCGAAGCTCTCTTTCGCATCTGCTCCAGTCCAGGGTTCATGCTTGGGCACAACAACTTGTGGGTGATTTTTATTTGGACAAAGATGATGATGATGAACGGAATGAGGAATCCGATGATCACTTCCACGGTATTCCAAATTCCGAAGCCTAGCATGACGCCTTCTTGGTTGAAGCTGAGGCAATTGGTTTTGTTGCTACTGTCGTGGATGAGGTCAAAGATTAACGGCATCCCTATTTGAGGTATAATAGCCAAGGCCCACATTGCCAGGCTTATGATCGTGGCACGGCCCGGCGATTTTCGGGCCAGCGAGTGCAGGGGCCTGTCGATCGCCTGCCACCTCTCGACGCTGATGCAGGTGAGGAAGTAGATGCTGCCGTACATGTTGGTGTAGAAGAGCGTTATCATGAGGTCGCACGAAAATTCTCCCAGGATCCAGTCGTTGACGCGCAAGTGGTAGGCGATCCTCAGCGGCAGCTGGACGACGAAGAGCAAGTCGGCAAGGGCCAGGTTGAAGAGGTAGACAGTGAAGCCGCTCCACACCTTGATGTGCCACCACGTGATCCAGATGGTGAACAGGTTGCCCATCAGGCCGAAGACAAACTCCAGCAAGAGTACGGGAGGCATTATATTTGAAAGAATGTCCTCGTTGTACAAGCACTTGTTCTCAGCGCTGGCACTGTCGTTCATAATCATTCGTTTGCTCTCAGACACGTCGCTCGGGTGCATCTTCTGCCGTTCCGGGTAAGCCGATGGTGCCTGGAAGAGAAAATAAGTATACCAGTAAAAACAAAGTTTTTCACTATAAATCCTTTATATGCGTGGCGGCTAGAGTCCTCTCGTCCTCTGGCTTGAGATGGCTGCCACCTATGGGTCAGATGATTGCATTGCACCATTAAGCAATTGGTAATTAAATATAATATTTTTGTCCTAAAAAGTGTAAAATTTTGGAAAAAAAATTTCACGAACATTAATTGTCACGCACAACGAGTCTGCGTGGAAAATGTCAGCTCGATTGGATCACGGGAAGTGGGTTAAAAAACGACCAAAAGATTTGCACGGTCCTAAGCAAGCAAGCGAACTTAATATAAAGGATTTAAAAACAATTGGACATCATTGAGGCTGAGTTTTCTTCCACAGGTGTGTGCAGAATAAAACCATTCACACCCGTCACTGAAATGAGTGACATTGAGATTCACGAGTACTCTTGCCAAATATATCTGGGTAAGAAAAATGATCAATGGGTATTGTAATTTTTACAATTTACAAAAACAGACCTAAAGAATGTATGTTTGTTGAACTTATTTCCACCGTACATAGGCAATAGTGTTATTCGGAGGTGCGGGAAATGACAGGAAGGTGAACAACAATACATTGCGTTATGATAATACGAATGTCATGCACATATCCAGGGATTGCCTCATTCAGTCTGCATATTTCGTACTCAGAAGGGTCCTCCTGCATTGGGTACGATGGGTTGAACAGTTTCACTTCAATCACTCTTCTGCTCGCCGCTTGGAAAGAAACCGGTCCACGGCGAATAAAATACTCTTTGGTTCTTTCGGTAAAGTCACGTAGGTATAAAATAAAATAAATCACGACGTTTCGGGCGCAACACAAGCATCCGTCATCAGGTGAGAAAGCATGGTCTGTTGCTGAGGCAGACTGATTTAAAAGCTTATTTTCTACCTACGTGACTTTACCGAAAGAACCAAAGAGTATGGATTGCTGCAGTCACGAAAGCTTCAAATCAAGGCGGAGAAAATGTTCGCACGGATGGATCGTGAACCCACTTGCTCTGCTACTGCCTCCCGGTCACCTTGCGGGTTTGTGGGTTTGTGAGTTGAACGAATCTGAGTCACCAATGCCTGGCCTCCAAAAAAGCGCTGAATCACAGGCGTGTGTGCACCGTGCCCTGCCCATAATACTCATAGCACGGTAGTCTGGTTTTTTACCAGTGACGTATTAGTGTCTTCGACGTGAAATATTAACACCGACAAGCTTAATCCCCGGTGCTGGTTATGTTTGGTTGAGTTGGAACCATGCATCGATTCACCTGCTGCATGCATTTGATTCGGTGTTTTTCAACTCATCGTAATGAATTCACGTCACCCCTGGGGCCGCTGCGGGTGTTGCCATTGAGGGCAGTGCCGCAATAAAAATGCAGGTTTTTTTAAACGTAGAAATTCACCAATTTACCAGGAGTGGGGTGAATTGTTCCACCCCTCCTGCTTGGTGCACGTTTACACCACAGGTACGCACACACACACACACCAAACCAAGGCCGTAATTATAATATATATTGTGGGGGGACATATCCCCCCCAATATTCAAATATAGCTCAAAATGTCCCCCCAATATATTGCTATAAAATATATTTATGTTTAAATGATTGTGGTTATGGTTGTACTTTATTAATCCCTAATCTCTGCCATTACATACAATGAAACAAGAAAAGGTAAAAAAAAACAGAGCAATGTAATACAATACACTATTAGACATTATTGTAAAAAATAAAAAGTCCATTCTATGTGTTAGTGAATTTTTTATATTTTAGGCAGGAAATGGCAGGAAATTAGTTTTCAAATTTAGATTTTTTTTTCTTGGGGGGGGGGACCCCCAGACCCCCTGGAAGATTTGGTTCCCCCCAATATTGACTCCATGGCTACGGCCTTGCACCAAAAACACGTGCAGCGGGTACGGTGCGCATGTACCAAACGTGTACCCGTGTTACAGCACATGAAGCAGCTGCACTATGCATGTACAGGGAATGTTCTATTTGCAAATATTCGACTTACGGCCTTTCAAAGATACGAACAAACCTGTCCGTACGCCCAGTTGCCAATTCAGACCGAGAGTCGTAAGTTCAACTGCCGCGCAATAGATTGCGGTGGTGACAGAACGTGAAAAACATGTGGCATCTACATCTACAGGATATTATACAACTTTTAAAGCCATGTTCAGTGTCTATGTCGTACAACACGTTTGGAATCGACAGGAGTAAGGGACCGTCCATAAATGACCTCACGCGATTTTGGACGACTTTTGACCCCCCCCCCCCCACTCGTCACACGGCGTCACAAAAAGTCAGACCCACCCTCAAATATGACGTCACAAAGCTCAAACCATATTTCCATTTTGAAAATAAAACATGCTCAAATCGCTTTAAACTATTGTCGTTGTAGTGCGTATTTAATGTGGCGCTGCACTCTGATGTTGCAGGAGAAAACATTTATTAAAAATCTATTTAATTCAGTAGAACGTGTTGTCTATATTTATTTAAAGTTGCGCATTTTGATGTGACGTCACATTTCTCAAACCCCCCCCCCCCACCTCGTCACGCATCTTCACAAATGTCTGACCCCCCCCCCCCCCCTAGGTGCGTGACGTCATTTATGGACGGCCCCTAAAGTTGGACTTACGAACAAATCGATTTATGACCATGCCTCTGGAACCTAACTTGTTCGTAAGTAGAGGAGTCCCTATAGGTAGCCAACTGTGCTAATCGGAGGTGCGGCGGATGAACGACAAACGAAACGTGTAAAGAGCTGTTCAAATATGCCAGTGGGAAATTCCCAAAGAATGGAAGGTAAAAAACATGTTGTACATCCACTGCTTATACATCGTTTACAGCTCCGTTGCCAAACGCTGTTCAAATAGTTGATATCACCACTGCCTGCATTGAACTTTTGACTCGTGTGTTTTTACATTTATTGGTTGCCTGCAGGCACGCTTAAGACTGATCGTGGCATATCGTTTGCAGGCAGTGTGCGGATTGGTTAAACGTTTGCATTTGTTTGAACGGGCAAAGTCTGGACCCATTTTCGGCTTTCTAAGTCTCATCTGGAGTGTACGGCAAGATTTATACTGCTGCTGCTGGGCTTTAGTGAGGTTACGTTGGAACATTGAGTAGCCTACTCTTTGGGGTTTTTTTCCGTAAAGTCACGTAGGTAAAAAATAAAATAAATGAAAACAACTAAATAAAATCACGATGTTCCAGGCGCAACACAAGCGTCCTTCTTGAGTAGCCGGCAATGTCAGGGTTACATTTTGACGTAGTGATAAAGAGAGCAGGGTAGGGGTTAAGTTAGCCGAGACATTTGATGTCAACATTGAGTCCAGATCAATGGACGTTAACTATCGATTTCGACCGAGCCGCTCATGTCCAATACGACACAATGTGGACAAATTGACTTGGGCATGTCACCTGACCAGCTGGGACTTTTATATATTTTTTTATGGCTATACTATTTTTTTTTCATCCTTTCCATAAAAATACAACAAACAGACGTTGATTAAATGTTCAAAGCATCACGCAACAGCTGATCAACGTTGCCTTTCAATTATGCTGAGTGCAAACAACAGCACGTGCAAATTGAGCGTAGCTCACCCAGCTTTATTACGAAGTGGTTGAGAGCCATTTGAAATGAAATACGACAAAACCTTTCCCGTAGCGCTCTTGAGAGTGTCCGCAATTTGGCAAATCCGCGATCCGCGAAACTCAGAGGCACGTTGGGGAAAAGTCGACTTTGGGTCACGATCCTTTTGCTGTACGTTACCCTATACGTCAACCCAAGCATTGAACAGGCAAGAATTTGGAACGCAATCTACCGTAGTAATACGTTCTAGTGTTAAATGTAACTTGTCCGGTAAATGCATAGAATGACTAACAAAAAATATAATGAATGTAGTGTCCTGTACACGAGAGGAAGAGACATTTGCGCGGCTGAACCTCGCTGCATCCTCCTCCTCCTCCCCAATATATATAATCTATAAACTAGAATGGTATATATGATTGTGGTTATGGTTGTACTTTATTAATCCCTAATCTTTGCCATTACATACAATGAAACAAGAAAAGGTAAAAAATAAAAAAAACAGAGCAATGTAATACAATACACTATTAGACATTGTTGTGAAAAATAAATAAAACGTCCATCCCATGTGTTAGTGATTTTTTTTATATTTTCGGGCAGGAAATGGCAGGAAATTCTTTTAAAATTTAGATTTTTTTTTTTTAATCTGGGGGGGAGGGAGCCCCACACCCCCTGGAAGATTTGGTCCCCCCCAATGTTGACTCCATGGCTACGGCCTTGATCTGCACTCCGTCAACAGAAGAGGAGGAGGAGGAGCGAAACGACACCAACTCATTCTCTCTCTCCTGAAGCCTTCTCGTCGTGGTAGCAGCAGACCTCGACAATGGCATTTAGCTCCCGATCGTATTGCTGACATCAAACATAGAATACGCAACTGCGTGTTATACATTTCTAAGAATATTTGTCCACGAAACGGTGTGCGCTCTTATATTTGAACTATGATAGTTGGCCAATCATTGTAAATAAATATTGACGAAATATTTTGTTTTGGTTTTATGCAAATGTGCAATTTACACGATAAGATGGAAGGACCGGGCATACTCTTCTCAGAACAGCCGAGCAAGGTAAACACTCCACAAATGCTCGCGTGAACTTGGATACAAAGACATTACTGGGTGGCAGACGGTGTCTCGGAGAGCTCCAGGGGTTAATGCCACGTCGGAGCACTCAGCCGACACGGATGGCTCAATCCCAGGCATCCACCAGCGATTACAGCACGCTTTACAAGTGCCCGCGATCTCATGCTGCCGGCGCGGTCGTAAATTATTATTGCACAAGCAGAACCGTCGCGTTGAAACCTGGTTTTACAGCAGTTCTGCGAATTCCAAAAAAATAAATAAATTGGATTTGGCCATGCAACGAATGCTCTCTGCGGGGCATATA